CCACACAAACTTAACAAGAACTGAAAATTTCTTATTTTCAAATAAGTAGCACAACCACAGGAATAAACTAAAATTCTGATCTTGATGGTTCACCAAGATTTCCAAGTAGTTGACAAGAAAAAACTACTAAGCTCTTCTGCATATAAGCTTTTAACACATGAAGGAAAAGGCCAAAGGATCTCAAAGGAGTCACCAATAGCTTAAAAAGGAAAAACAAGAAATTGTCTTCTGTCCCTTATTACAGGCAACATCTTGACCAAGACCACTGTGCAAAACATCCCACCACTTCTATCCTTCCCTAAGTAGCTATGGCCTACAACCTGGTAGAGTACAAATGATCTAAGCAGTAAAACAAAGGAGTCTGGAAATAGGCAAGACTCCTACAGTTTTATCAGTCCTTAAAAAAATGTACTCAATTCTACACAACCTGTTCTAAAATATTAATACCATGAGAGGCAGAAAAAGGCAAGGGAATTGTTATACATTACAAGAAACTAAAGAGACATGAAAATCAAACATAATGCATGAATCTTGATTGGATACAGGATTTTTGGAACAACTAGAGAAAAATTTAAATAGGGAATATATATTATATACTTTCACTTTCCATAGTTATGCAGGAAAATATCCTTATTCTTAAGGCAACATTTTAAAACATTTAGAGATGAAGTATCATGTCTGTACTTGTTAACACTTTGAAATCGTTCTGAAAAAATGCATACATACATACATACATATATATATATATGTATATATAGAATAAAATTATTATGAGAAACATAACAATAAATCTAAGTGAATGCTAGATTGGTGAGGTGTTTGCTACAGTACACATTCAAATTTTTTGTAGGTTTTAAATTTCTTAAAATACAAAGTAAAGGGCCAGGGATTTGGCTCAGTGGTTCCACTGCCTGCCTTGCAAGCAGAGGGCCCGAGTTCGATCCCCGGTACCACCAAAAAAAAAAAAAGGTAAAAATACAAAGTAAAGGTAGAATATGAATGCTAGATTGGTGAGGTGTTTGCTACAGTACACATTCAAATTTTTTGTAGGTTTTAAATTTCTTAAAATACAAAGTAAAGGGCCAGGGATTTGGCTCAGTGGTTCCACTGCCTGCCTTGCAAGCAGAGGGCCCGAGTTCGATCCCCGGTACCACCAAAAAAAAAAAAAGGTAAAAATACAAAGTAAAGGTAGAATATATACCTATAACCACCTTAGACTTGTGTTTATTCAGCTGCCTTGAGTTCTCAGTTCATCAAGACAGTAACTTAGCTGGCTTAGACTTTCACTCCCTCTTCTCATCTATTCCTGAATAACAATAAAGTAAATGCCAGTGTGACTTCTGGGAGACAGTGTAGTGTCTATGAGGCATTTAACAAGAGGCTAATAAATTATCACCCATTCATAACCTGGATGTGGAATCCTTATGAAAGTCTTTTTTAAAAAAAAAGCAAGTAGGGCTGGGGATTTACCTCAGTGGTTATACGAGTGCGAGGACCCGAGTTTGATCACTGATACCAAAAAAAAGCAAGTGGTTCAAAATATACTCAATGAATAAAATATGCAGCAAAAGTAAAAATAAAGTATAATCCATTGTTTTCAAATATTACACATGTAAGTTACAGGTAGCAGAACTGTATAGGTTCTCTTTTGGATTTTGCTTTCTTATTATGTGTACATATACTGCTTTTACATTAGATCAAAAATATCGAGATAGCTGGGCATGGTGGCACACACCTGTAATACCAGCACTCATGAGGCTGAGGAAGGAGGACTGCAATGAGTTCTACTTTGAGGCCAAACTGGTCTACATAGTTCAGGGCCAGCCTGAACTACAAGTGAGACACTGTCTCAAAAAAAAAAAAAAAAAAAAAAAAAAGAGAGATAATTAACCAAATTAAAATTCTACCTAAACCACAGCAAAAAATATGAGCTCTATACCACAGGCAGATATAGAAACAGTTTCATCAAAGTTGTAAGCAGGGGCCAGAGATGTAGCTTAGTGACAGAACAACTGCCTAACATACTGGAGAGCCTGGGTGCAATCCTCACATGGGGGGACGGGCACCACTAACAGTATTTATCATCGTGTGTCAAAACAAAAGAATAATAAAGTGCCAAAATATAACAATTACTCATTAATTCTTTCTCTAAGTACAAGACAGCATACATTCTAGTATCATGAATTCTGAAATAAAATATAGACTCTATCTTCAAAGATTTTTTTTTGGTCTAACTGGTAGAACTGGTTAAACAAACCAAATCATTAATTCAAAAAGAACAAAGTGAGTATCAGAGAAGAGATGCTTACAGGGCCAATGAGCAATATGCTATGAAGGATAAACAACAGAGGCCAAAGGTGGCGAGATGATGTGCTGAGCTCATCTTCAATCAATGCACCTGACACGGACTGCAGACTAACAAAACACCCCTAAGCTTACAGCGGGTTCATACAATGGTATTTACTGAAAGATATATTAAAATTACAATGAAAAAATGTAATTCAGTTCAAACATTTACTAAGAATGGACTATGCCAAGAATTCTGCCCAGAGCCAAGTTTCAAAGAAATAAAACTCAGTTCCAGCCAGCCAGGCACAATGGCACATGTCTGTAATCCCAACAGGCAGGAAGAAGCTAAGGCAGGAGGACTCTAAGTTTGAGTTCCACCCAGGCAACTTAGCAAGAGCTTGCCTCAAAAATATTTTAAAATGTTTCAAAAGGCCTGAGGATGCAGCTCAGAGTAAAGTGCCCCAACATTGATTCCCAGTATTGCCAAAAAGTAAAACAAAACAAAACATTCAATTCCTACACTCAGGGTACTCACAGAAAAAAAGTAATGTTCAGGGTGGATGGGTGGGTATAGCTCAGTGTAGAGTGTCGAGTGGGTGCTTAGCATAGGAGAGATCCTGGGTTCAACATCCCCCAGGACCAAAAAGAAAAACAAAACCCAGAAACAAAAACAAAAACCCCCACAGTAATTCTCCCTCTTAAAATCAGAAACATGGCGGGGGGCTGAAGCAAGAGGATTCCAAGATCATGCTCAGCTTAGGCAATTCAGCAGAACCTTGTATCAAAAAATGGTCTCAAAATATAGCTCAGTACAAATGGTATAATACCCAGTACTTCTTCCCTCCAAAAGAAAAAGTAATTAGCCATATTTGCAATGTATACAGTACATGTAATTATAACTATATTTAATTACATAATATATAATAGCTAAAAACCATTAATAAGCAATTAAAGATGAAGAATCCAGTAATACCATAAAACCTACCATTTGTTAAGGACTGACTCAATATATATATATATATATAT